CCATTCGCCTGTTTGCCGAACGGCAGGAGAAGGCCTTAGTTCTCGCAGTAATAGATTGATCCAATTTATCTCTAATATGAGAAAAGCTTAATTATGATGAATTTTAAAATTAAAAATTAAAAATTTTAAAATATTTCATATAAAAATTAAATGATTATTCATATTTTTTGCTCATTTAAGTGACTCTGCTCTTATCCCAATTGTCTAATTGTCTCCTATCTATAAAGTATGAACTGTTCAGAAAGTAAGCTATCATGCAAATAATGTCCTACTAAGCAATGTCTTTCAATTATAGCTGATATAACACACTGTTTACTTTGGGATATGAGAGAGGCCCGTATGGAGAATTATTCTGTGCAGAGATCGGATGCAGATGCAGAACATCATCCAGAAACCAACCAGAATACATCACATCAGCATATCAAGCCACGGTAGCAACTAATACCGAGCCATGGTTCCGAGCAAGGGATAACGTGGTGCATTCTAGTTAATCTCCGGATAGCATTCGACATCCACACAGAATAATTAATCCGTCTCGACGATATGAAAGGTGTTAAAAATTTATGGAGGCCATTTAAATTATCAGAAAACATGACCTACCCTCCTAATTATAGATATAAGTGGATATCATCTATTCAAATAAATTTATAGGTGATATTTTTATCTATTTATTCTCCCATCTTCATCTAATTTTGTCCTACAAATAGTATTTCTATAAAACCTGGCATTAATAACACAGCATCAGCGTGTGAACAGTACACAAATTCTCTTCATAAATACATAAAGAATATACATTTACATGGACCAATGTTGCATCAAGATTATGTATTAGAGAAGTGAAAATTGATCAAAATCAAACTGGCATTTGACTCGGATCGAGCTAGCCTATAAACCCAGATTTAGCTCAGCACAAATAATCGGATTATTTGAGCCGATCTGAACTCAAGGTGAGCTAATTCTGGGCCTTCTCAAATTAAACTAATTCTGAAATGTAATTCAATGATGATTTTTTCTTTTGCTTTTCCCTTCACCATATCTTGGGTGTTTTAAGAGCTCAATGTACTTCAATTGTATAATTTATGGCAAACTGGGGTGCTGGGATTAGCCAAAGAACCTGCAGAAAAATAGAAAATTCACTTTGGAAGGGTTAGAAAGCTATGACAAATCAAATATTCAGTATAGAGCACCTAATAAGTATTTGTAATTTGGCATACAGATGCTGGCAAAACAAGGCTGCTTTGACACAGGATCTTCCTCAAATGGCGGAGGTGTTTGACCATACAGCATATCACAACTCATATCTTCAAAATCTGAAAGGATAAAAACATTTTATCATTTACAACTAAAAGTACGTGATAGTACATTTTCGATATAATCGTAAGATTAAGGTTTCATTTGGGACGGCTTTTTTATTGCTTCTTAAAGTAATTTTTTAGTAAAAAAATTTTAATTTTTTACTAGAAAGCTACTTTAAGAAGATGTAAGAAAGCTATCACAAATGAAACCTAACTTTGATTAGCAAT